CGTGCAGGGGAGTGGCATTAGGGCATGGATCTTATTTAAAGTGACTCCATTACTAATTCTTGGGTTATTATCACTTTACCCTTTAAACTATATCACTACTATCAGTTTACCCTCTAATATTATCTTTTAGTTACTTTACCCCCATAAGTAATTCAACTCAACGTGTTAAGAAATTTTGGACAAATATACCCTTTTTATTTTATAGCATTACTACATTGTTATTATCACTTTATTCGTTTAGATTATAGTGATATAATCACTTTAGTTCCTAACATTATTTTCTAGACATTTTACCTCATCGTTAATCTAACTAGTATGGTCAAAAAATTTGTAACATATTTACCCTTTTTTATATGTAATTAAAAATAAAAAAGTTGGAATGATTATTCTTCCTTTTTTTTCACTTTAAAAGATCGAAAAACATAAAAATAAAAGGGTTTTCTCAAATTTCTTTCTTTCACATTTATTAATATTAGGAGAAGAAAAAGAGATAAGAAAGAAGAAGACAAAAAATTAGATTTTGCAAAAAAAATAAAATAAAGAAAAGTCTAACATTATCGTATTAGTTTAAGGTTGTCGAGACTAGGATTGGAATTTGGTGGTAAACAAAAAAGTGAAATAATTTTAAAATAATAAAAGTATTAATTCTTTTTTATTTGTAATTTTTAAAAAAAGAATTGAGCTCTCTCTCTCCCTCTCCCCCTTCCCTTCCCCCTCTCCATCTTTCTATTTTTTTTCAACATTAATAAGATTGTCAAGAAGAAAGAAATTAATACGTTGACTTTTTTTCTTGATACTAAAAAGGAGAAGAGTCACTTTAAATTATTATTATTATTATTATATAAAGAGAAGGGTATTTTCTTCTAAAATTTTTTAACTTGCTAAGTTGGTTTAATGGTACGATAAATTGCCTAAAAAATAACTATAAGAGGTAAATTGATAATAAGACTATATTTTATGGGAGTAAAGTGATAATAATTTTAAGGGTTAAACATGTCTTTTCATTCTAATTAACAAATTCCATTAAGTTTGACTGTTAGTCTTGGGAGTAAAGTGACTAAACGATAATGTTAAGGGGGAAATTGATAGTAGCACCAAATGTTAAGGGGGTAAAGTGATAATAACCCTTAATTCTTACTATTGAAAGGCTTGATTAGTGGATTACCTACATCTACGGCAGTTAATGCTATTTAATTAATTCATTCAGTCATCCTTCATTTACGTGATACTAATTGCTAAACCAATACACACTGCTATTAGTTAATGCTACTAGTTGTTGATTGCGACACCAATTTGGGGGTTTCCACGAACCAGGTGTTAAATTTTTGAAAAAATAAAGTTAATTAAGAACAACATATAAATACAAGAAAAGGTACTAGTTAGTATTAATGTGTGTATTCAAATAGTAGTAAAATAGGCGTAATTTAAGCGTGTTAACAAAAGTTTACTAGGCAATCGTTAGAAAAATCTTATTACTTAACGTGAGTTTTTTTTCTTCTAGTATCAAATTTGGAAGAAAATATAGGTTATTCAAATAACTCATGTCGCAAAGAAATAGCTAAGACAATTTACATCTTTCAACTCCTCTTATTTTACTTTTTATCCATTCTCTTGAAAAAATCTTTTGGTATTTTATTAAGAGTAAATCTTATATACGTTGATAGTGTATATACTATCATGATTGGATAGACGGCATATATATAAATTTTGATTTTCAAGTTTAAATTCAGATTATATGTCATGTATTTAATAGTAAAAGTGTATATACTGTGTCAATATATAGAAAATTAATTCTTTTACTAAAATGAATGAGTGAAAGAAAAAAGTCTATTCTTGTCATCATTAACTAATCAATGCAACAATCTAGATCTCATCATTGAGGAAAAAGAGAAAGAAAACGTTCTTTATATGTGTTCTTCTGATAATTCGATACTAACTACTGCACAGTTTACTTTCATTGGGAATCTTAAAAAACAAAAAAAGTTCCAAGACTTCTCCTACATTATTTTCCTAAACAAAGTAAGTTCCTATACTTAAATTAGCCAATCACAAGTTATCTCCTACCGAATAAAGGTGTATACTTAAATAAGCCAATCACAAGGTATCTCATCCCCGTGAATCCTCCATTCCGGACCACAGGCATTCCAACGAATTTTCTGTCCCACTTCTTGACAATCTCTAATCTATTTTTTATTATATTATTATTATTTTTTATAAACATCATATTTTAATTTTCTTAATTTTCTTAATATTCAATAATTGTTAATTAAGTAAAAATAAATACAAAAGTCTCAAAAATATATATAATAATAAATTAAAAAATGCAACAAGAAATTCATAAAAAATCTCATTTTTTTATACATTTTGTTTTTTGGCAAAATAGAAGATTCCTTGCAACTCCTGGATCTCATCTAACAGTAACACTTGCTTTCCTTACTTTCCTTTCTTTTTTTTTTTTGGGGGGGGGGGGGGGGGTGGAAAGATTGCCTTACTTTAGCCTCATTGTTTGTTTCTAAATTCTAATCCCTACCGTTAAAATGGGCCCGTGAATCACCCAAGTCCAACGGACCTCGTGATTAAGAGCTTCCTAGCACAATTATGCTGTTCTCCACTCCCAAAAGTCCTCAAAATAGCTCCCCGAAGAAAGGCATCCTGGAGTGCCAACATTTTATCTTTATTTTTATCATTTTTTAGATTTATTGTAATTAATGATTTCAAAAAAAAATATATATATATATTATATTTGATGTATGTTCTACCATTAATACAGATTTATAGAATAAAAATTATCTTTTTTTAAATCAAAAAATCCTCAAAATAGCTCCTCAGTATTCTTCTCATACATCTTTTTTTTTTTTAAGCCGATTTGAAAACTCCATAATCAAAGAATTGTGATGTTTTTTCTACCCTAAAAAAGTTTTGTTTTGCCAAAAGGTTAAAATTAAAAAGTTTGTGCGTTTGGCAGAAAGTAAGAAACTTGACAAGTAAACATTGGCAATGGAGTGGCTTTGGGATAGGAGAAACTCCGCCCGACTCCCACTTTACAAAAGTTCCTCCGGCCCCATCCCACTATTATTATCTTTATTTATAATCATTATATATATATATATATATATATATATATATCTAATACAAATAGTTTTTTTATTAATCATTACTTTGAAATTTCAGCAAAATATTACATCATTTTATTATAACAACGTAACATGTTACTTTTCTTTAATGCGTTGCTTAATTCATACAAATATATTTTTGTAATAACAATAACACAGCATTAATTTCATATTATACATATAAAAACATACATAAATGTTATACTATATTAAAATTTAGGCGAGGGGAAGGGTAGGGGTATGTTCCTCTGTCCTCCATCCTATTTGGGGTGGGGGGAGTTCGGAAATCCCTTTGCCCCACCCCATTTTTTCACTCACGGGATTGGAATTCACTCTGTTATCATTCCTAAACATGTTTTATATAGCATTTTAGAGTAGTTATAATATGATTAGGGGTTTTGGAAAACCTACAATCCTTTGGTTGCAATTTATCTTTGGAAAATCGTCATTCTTTTGACAACTTAAATGGAAATAAACCTCTGAAAATTTAATGCCTACATCCCATTTGATAGTCAATTACTAGCATTTCAACTTTCTGCTAAACACTTTCGTTGTAGGGTATGGTAGAGTCTAAATTTTTTGAACATTGAAATGGTAAATTTTGGTACTTTTTTTTAAAAAAAAAATTTATTCCAACAACGGAGATTTGGGATTTAAGTTTCAGAAGGGAAAGGAGAATTTGAACTTAGATTCTACAAGTCTTGGTAAAATTTAGAACCTATGCTTTTTTTTTTTGTATACCCAAACCGTAAAGGATTTTAAATATATTTTCCTATAACTTTGATATGTTCTGCTGCAATATTTTTTTTTTTATAAAGAGTTTTGGATGTATTTTACGTGTAGTGTTTTACGGGATTCTCATTTGATCCCTTGATCTTTTTTGCTTAAGGGTATGCCCCCTTATTATACTTGCTCATCAATGAAAATTTGTACAACTTGGAGAAATTTTTTAATACTTGGCATGATTTTCTTTAGCGAATATAAAGTTCTATAGGAATTTATGTAGTGTTAAAAGTTGCCTTAATTTTTTTTTATTTTTAACAAGTGTAATATACGATGGACCGATTTCAAGGTATCTTTTTATAATTTCAAGCAAAAAAAAATTTTTTTTTTCAAAAAGGAAAAGTCGAGCTTGGGCAGTTTGTTGCACTAGTAGCTTATTATAATTCTTTAAAAAAAAAAAAAAGCTTATTATAATTCAAAGTGGATTTGGGCATCAATTTGAGTTTAAATTAATTGGTCTATCAATTGATTTAATTATAGCACTAGTATTTAAGGTTAATTGTTCAATCAACATAAAGCAAAACCCTACTAAGTAGACTACTTAACCAACAATAATTAGGCAAAGCCACCTCCTAACGTCAAATACACAGAGAGAGTAGTGTCTCTGTGAATTACTACAAAACACAGCAAATCTTATTAAGACCAGACAGTGAGAAGTGAGAACACACACTCTCGCACACACACTCTCTCTCTCTCTCACACAGACAGTGAGAGAAAGAAAGAAAGAAAAGATTCTCTCCCACACACAACTCTCTTTCCCATTTCATCTTCTCCAAGATTTCTCATTTGTTCACTGCAAAGCTCGCCTCTTTAATTTGCCTGACCTCGCCGGAAAACAAGACCCCCCCCCTGCATTTTCGGGCAAACAACATCCACGTTTACTTCAGCATCCGGGCAGGCAATATATATCCCATTGATTCGATGACACCTCATAGCTTCCTTTGATTATTTCAAGCTTGATAATCCCATTGTTTCTCCTAGTATTCGGCCGGATCCCACTTCAAGTGTACATGCACATTTACATAATTCAGATGAATATTGATAGCTTATCAGTACAATAAGAGACGACAGTGACAGCTGCAGCGGCTAGTATATAGTGAAGAGATGTCGGTGTACGATGCGGCGTTTGTGAACAGCGAGCTATCTAAGCCAACCTCCATATTCGGCCTGCGGTTATGGGTGGTAATTGGGATTTTTGTGGGAGCCGTGATTGTTCTAATCCTTTTCTTGTTGTCTCTTTGCATCACCGCCTATCGCCGCCGCACCAGCAGCACCGCTAAACTTCACCATCCCGGAAAGTTTTCTGGTGCAGCCGAGCTGACCCCAGTTGTTTCCAAGGAAATCCAAGAGATCGTTCATGATTCCCACCCCGATCACCGCCCCATTGTCCCTCAGGCATGTCTTCTTTTATGTCTACTTCTTGCTGTCGTGATACTAATATATGCTAATTTACTGCTATTAGTTCTTAATTTTGAAGTATGAAGAAAAAAGAGTACATTTTTAATGACAAAATGTTGACCAAATTGAGTTGGGATTGTGGAGTTTCTTTTCGATCTTTACTTCATCTACAAATTTGTTTAATTTGTTTTGGCATAAGGATATGCATTATTGCTGAGTTTTGTTTTATTTTGCTTTTTCTTTATGATGATGTATAGGCGTTGCCTGAGATTCAGATAGACATGGGGAAGGTTGAGCACAGGGTGGTATTTTCGGACAGGGGGGCATCGAGTGGGGAGAGTAAGGCAACAAGTGGGGCGGAGACAGGGTCGTTCGGTGGTAGTGGGGCATTGCCAGAGGTGTCCCATCTGGGGTGGGGAAGGTGGTACACTTTGAGAGAGCTCGAGGCAGCTACCGATAGGTTGTCTGATGCGAATGTGATTGGAGAAGGTGGATACGGGATTGTGTATCAAGGTATTCTGGCTGATAATACCAGAGTTGCCGTGAAGAATCTGTTGAATAACAGGTATGGGAACTTACAACTAAATTAGCTTTAATGAACTGTTGGTTTGACTTTGGCAAGAGTATGATAGATAATCAGATGGTATCATAATGGTATTCCAGGCATTGCATACAGTGTATTGTCACTATAACTGCATGTCTCCAATAATAGCAATGAATACGTGTTGCTATTTAGGAATTTTTTTACTCCGGAGGAACCATTTGTTTTTTTTTTGTCCTTGTTACACCATTTGGCAAGTTAAATTTAGTATTTGTAATTGTCAGTTTTCGCTTTTTTATGCTTGTCTTGAACAAGTTTGATTTGGACTTTAAAGCAATCTGCTTTCAGGTGAATATGCTTCAATTTCTATATACCGTGAAAAGTGCGAATTTTACAACACCAAGATGTAGTATGCTATTGTATTTAGGACATAAGATCTAAGCACTGTTTGGAATGGTTCTATTGTCGTGGGGTGCGTGAAAATGATAGCTTTGGCGGTTTCATGTACTGGACGTTGGCTTTTGGAACCTTCATCCTCACTTCAAACAGTAAAAAGAATGTCCTTTTTTTCTTTTGCTCAAAATAAGGGAATTATAGTTTTGTGTTGTAGTAGCAGTGCATTATTCTCCCTTCCTCTCATGCTTAAACTCATTGGAGTAATGACTATCAGGGGGCAAGCAGAGAGGGAGTTTAAGGTTGAGGTGGACGCTATTGGGCGAGTGAGGCACAAGAATCTTGTCAGGCTGCTGGGATACTGTGTCGAAGGAGCTTATCGGTAATGATATGCATCTCAGTTGAAGAATGCACTTCGAGTTATTATTATCCCAAAAGAAGCTGATTGACATGTTGTGCTTGTTCTTTTTGTGCAGAATGCTTGTATATGAGTACGTGGACAATGGGAATTTGGAGCAGTGGCTCCATGGAGAAGTAGGGGAAGTCAGTCCTTTGACTTGGGATATACGGATGAATATAATATTGGGAACTGCAAAAGGGTATAGACTTTAGATTTGTACTTCATCAAATGTCCATTGTTTTATTTGAGTGAGTTTCTTGCGTGAATGTTGTCTGCTTGTTTAAAACTTTATTTCCTGACCCTTGCAGTCTGGCATATTTGCATGATGGTCTTGAGCCAAAGGTTGTTCACCGTGACATTAAAACAAGTAATATACTACTTGATAGTCAGTGGAATGCCAAGGTGTCAGATTTTGGACTTGCAAAGCTGTTAAATTCTGAAAGGACTTATGTGACAACTCGTGTCATGGGCACATTTGGGTTCGTTAATTTCATTTCTGAAGTAGCTTACTTGTTTTGTCATATGACGTTGAAGTTTTGCTAAATATCATTGTTTTCTAGTTATGTGGCACCAGAATATGCGTGCACTGGCATGTTAAATGAGAAAAGTGACGTTTATAGCTTTGGAATACTTATCATGGAGATAATTACTGGTAGATCTCCAGTTGATTATAGCAGGCCACAGGGAGAGGTTAGTACTCAAATTTATGCATATCTCATAGATTCCCTTGTTTTTTTTTTTTTTTGCATTGAACTTCTCAATCACCTCTAAAATGGAAAATGGTAAACTACTGACAGGTTAATTTGGTGGATTGGTTGAAGTCCATGGTTGGAAATCGAAAATCTGAGGAAGTGGTGGATCCTAAGTTGCCAGAAATGCCTAGTTCAAAAGCACTTAAACGTGCTCTTCTGGTTGCCCTGAAATGTGTTGATCCTGATGCCCATAAGAGACCAAAAATGGTGCACGTAATCCACATGCTGGAGGCAGATGACCTGCTGTTTCGTGATGTATGCATCTTATTCTCTCTTTTTCTTCATCCAAGAACCGCTACATCTGAATACAAGAATACACTTACTAGGGGGTCCTCCTTATTCACTCTCTAGATTTCTCACTACTTGCATACTTACCTCCCTCTTTTTGTTCTCCCTTGATCTTCAGGAACGACGAATTGGCAGAGAATCTGCTGGTTCAAATCGTGAGTACAAAGAAAATAATCTTGCTGGTTCCAATCGTGAGTACAAAGAAAATAATCTTGCTGGAGCAAAACTAGTCAACCAACCATACGGCAACGGTGCATCTAATAATAGTGAAGGTGACAATGGTACGAGCCATGACTTGCCATCTAGGTGGAGATAATATTACGGATGGGAGATGTCAGTAATAATGTAGGTTTATGCAAATTTTGATGCTTGCTAATAAGCTTATTGCTCTCATTCCATTAGTTTTGTAGGATTTGTACTAGCTTCTTCTTTTTTTTGTGATATAAAAATATGAAATCACCATTGGATTATGCCTCATAAGTTATTGAATCAGGTTTTATTGTATGCTAGATTGGTTGACTGTTTTGTACTACTTAGAAACTATAAGTCGCATTGTATGTTTCCATGCTTGGACAGAGTATACCACAAGAAGGCATACTTCTAAGGATTTGGGGCAGGGACGGTCATCAGTATGACCGTCCCTGCACGGTTAAAAATTTGTGCGGCTGAAAATTGGCCCTCAAAATTTTGTGCGGCTGAAATAACACCATGTAACTCGAAATCCGCGCCAAGTGTGGGGCCCACCACTATCTGTTGTGAAAATACATCCTGTGAAAAAAAAGTTACGCGCAGTTGAACCAATGTTACGCGCAGTTGAAATGAGCTAAAATTGGCAGGACGGTTGCAGCCCCGAGTCCTACTTCTAACCTTCTCATTTTTCTACTGCAAGTTCAGTTGTGTACTTGTCTCTGTTTCTCTGTTATGTTAGCTAGGTTGTCTCAATCTGTATGCCGTACTCTATTCTTTTTCCGCCGCAATCCATGTCGATCTCATGACAGGTTAATTAAGTGCAAAAGTATCCATCAAACATCATCAGAGCAAGCGCCGTGATCATAGGTATGCATCAGTGCCCCACTGAGACAGAGCAACTATATGGGAGGGTGCGAAATGTACAGAAAATAAGACTCCAGACTCCAAATATCGGATTATTATAGGGTGGTGGAGCCTTTGGCCAGCGAATTTGGTTCAAGCCAATTCATTGCAACTCCCCCGTGTCTTTCTCAATTTATGTATTGTATGCCCTGGTTGGTGTAGGATAAGTCAGGCAAGCAAAGCATATTCCAGAGTGGAAATGGGGTCATGGGATTTTTCTTTCTTTTTTCTTTATTCAAACTCACTTTCAATGTCTTGGCTGGACAATTGGACAATGTGCACTGCCTTTGGAGCATGACAAGGACACCTACAGTTTACATGGTGTACAAGTGAGCTGTCTGTGGCTGTATGGGGCTACTTTCTTTCCTTCAATTGGTCCACATTCTTTACTAGTAACTGATTCTTTTTTCTTTCTTCAGAAGAGTAGGGTATTAGTCATTTCGTACCAGGATGAGGAAATAAGACACCACCTAATTAGTGGGCTGTAGTCGGTTCAATTGGATGCTGCTACTATGGTTCCATTTGGTTCAAGGGCCAATTGCAAACGTTACAAGGAAAACCAAATCTCAAGGTCATCCATTTTTCTTCTGTTTTTTTGTGCGGTTGCATTTCATCTCTCTGTCACGGTTCTGTTACTTAAAACAATAGGTAACTCTCTACATTGAGCAGAGTCAGAAATTTCCTAACCCATTTCGTGATCACATTTTCTTATTACCTTTTTTTCTCACATACATTAAATCGCTACAATAATTTTTCTACAAAAAATCCTAAAAAATACAATCCAAACAAGGCTAAACAAACCTATTTAATTAAGTTTATTCATACCCGTCCATGAATAAATGGGTATAAGTATCTTAAATTTTTACATATGAGTATTATTGGGTAACCTATCAAACCCAATTAACCCATTTAGAATTATCTTCTCCCAAACCTCCTCTCTTCCTCCACCCATTTTTTTTTTCAAATTTTTCATTTTGTCATGATATTAACTACTTTTGTTTTATTATTATTATTATTATTTGTTGGTTTTATCTTATCATTTTATTTTCTCTTAGTTTGTTAACTTGCTCATTTTTCAGCATTACCAATTTATGACAAATTTTAGCCTCTTTTCTTACTTTTCCAAAATGAAATTTTAAATTTACACACGAAAAAATGTTAGAAGTTCAAAATTTTTGGATTAAATTTTTATGTTAACTTTTATAGTATTTAGTTCAAATTTTTATATTCTTATTGTTTAATTATTAAATAGTATGTAATTTTGCAACATAGAGTACGGATGAAAAAAAATTGATAATTAGATTTATTGAGTATTATAAATAAATATTTAAAACTAATGATGGGTGCAAAGGATGGTATAAATTGATAACTTAGTTTGCAAAAATGAATTTAAATGAATTTACAAAAAATTAAAATAAATGGATTATAAATGGGTAATTGAGTTACCCAATTCATTTTTTGACTTACCCATTTATACCCATCTAATTAAATAGACATAAATAAATTGACTCACTTATATCCATTACCCATTTTACCCACTCATCCAAATCACCCATTTTGACGCCTCTATCCTTTCTCATGCCGTTCTTAATTGGTCTATACTCTATAGGATAAACAGCACTTTTACCTGCTAAGAAAATGGATTTTATGTAGTACTAGTTTTAGACAGTAGTCTGCTATTATATGTGTACGTGATTATTTAAAACCTGCAACCAGTAAAGAGAAGAAAAGTCAAAAGTGTATCATCCATCATCCAATAATTAGGGAAGTGTGTAGGTTTTAACCACGGGAGCAAAAGTATTAAATAGCTCTGGGAATGCAAGTACAATCATTGAGCTGCTTGCGCGGAAGTGGGGGCAAGTTGCAGATTCATGTGATGCGTTAATTGAAAGAAGCATTTTACATAGAATCCAGCAAGAAACAGCTCCAACTCAGCCTAAAAGGCAACTGATATTGACATTAGAATTCTCAAAATACTAGTACTAAATTTGCACCTCAAATCAATAGCTGAGACTCTAACAATAGATTAGAGTAGAAGTAAGGGTAGTGTCAATTAACTATGTGAAAAACAAATGCTAGCACATGATGAAATGATGAAATAGAAATAGAAGGTTTGAACGCTTGACTTTTCATCCCACAAAAGGCGCTTAAGGATTTTATAGCAACCAACGGCCGGATAAGCAACCACTGGACCAATGGCTCTCCTTGGACTGTAGGTTGAGGGTTCAAACCTCACCTGGACCCGTTGTTTTCCACTTCTTCCTTTCTCCTCGTTCTTTTTGTAGGAACAGGAAAAAAAAATGGGAAAATGAAAGTTTTTTATTTTCCCCAAGCTTATGTGCCCATTAATTCAGGGGGTACAGGTCCAATATGTACGTAGGCCCAAATGTGGATGGAGACCCATATATACATAGGCCGAAAAGATGAAACTACAATTCGACCTCTCTCAAGAGTCGAGTCCATAATCAGTATGGAGATATTTCTAGAATTTTCTTCACCATTGGATGGTAATCTGGTATTTCCAGATTCCCTTGACCATGATGAAAGAAGTGGAAGGCCTAGATGGACGGTTTCCACACTTTCCAGTGTTGTACAGAGTCGACCACACTTGTACCATATGACCCCGATTTTATGCGAAGAAATGTGGACGAAGAGTATTGGAGAAATAAATTCAAACAGTTTAACTTAATGCATGTTTTATCGGATTTATGATTTCTAATGCATGTTTAACTTATCATTAGGACAGTAATGTAAATCAAATTATCAAATTGTACTAGACGATTTTCAGCAATCTATTAGTAGAATTTGCTTTTTATAAAAAGTAGGATTTGTACACAATGTCCATCAAATACCATGTTGAACAAAATGAGGAATTTGTTAGTGCAATTAAACTAAATTGATCCTTGAACGGATTTTTGTTTAAGCCATTTCATGATAAATATTTCAGTATACGTTTCCACTTGCACGTGTAAGCATCTTCCCCATCTGGTCAACCACTAAATAATGTTGTTAAATTCGGACCGGATAGCAATTCGACTAAACTACTAGATCATGGGTCAACTGGTCGGAACAGTCAGATCGTTCTAAAAAATCCGTTTGACGTTAGCATGATGTCATAATTATTTTATATTTTTATAAGTTTTAAAAATATTGAAATTAAGTTCTTGATTATATTCGACCAATCATATAAAATGTTCCAAAAATATTAGACTTACAATCAAATATATACCTAATAATTATATATAAAAATGTAAATTCATGAATAAAATATGTCCGTTCTTCAAAACTACTTGAAAATTAAATTAAAACAAATTAATGCAAGTTGAAATTACTTATGCTAAATTAATAAGATTATAGGGATGAAAACATTTTGATTTAGAGATTATTCAGAAAAGTGAATGATCTTGATATTTATACTAAATAGGTGCCGTTTTCTTATTCCTATTAATAAATGAAACTGTTACAATTTAGGTAAGGAAAAATAAGAGAAAAGTTTGAAAATTGGATTAACTAGTCGAACCAAGTTATTGGTTTAGCCGGTTTCGACTAATTTTTTTTATCAAAACGATTTTGTGCTACAAACTAATTCAGAAAGAAGGTCGATTCATGGTTGAACTGGTCAAATCGGCCAGTCCAAACCAGGTCTAACAACACTACCGCTAAACAAGAGTTGTTTACTATTTCTAAAAGAACACGATTAATTTTGGGATTTTTGTAAATCATAAATCCAACATTTTTTTTGGTTTAATCACTCAGCAATATCAAAATTAAGTACAGTGTTATTCTTGACATGCACATTTAAACTAGTTTAAGGGTCTATTTGATAACATAACAAAGTGTTGAAACTGAATTTTTTTATACATTCAGATATTTTGGGTGTTTGATAAATAAAAATTGATCTGTTGAATTTGTGTGTACTTTTTTTAGCACAAGAATCGTAATTGAATATTTAATTCTAATAAGAATCAACATATTTATTTCAACTACTTTACATTAGTGTGTTTGGATTGTAGGTTATTTGTCCAAATATATTTGCTTACATCACCATTACAATTTTCAATACATATTTTTATCTTCTCAATTACCTGTTTATCTCACATACATTACATCACAAAAAGGTAATTAGGTAAAAATATCTCAAATAACTTACAATCCAAACACACTATTTGTTAATTAGGATCAAAATTCTTATCAAATTTTTTTATTCAAAATTCTTATATAATTCTGTATCGAGGGAAAGGAAAAGGTAAGTGTATGCAAAAATATACTAGCTATTTGTGATTTCAACATGATTTTCATATTCGTTTTTGCGTGTTGAAAAGGTGTAGCACATGACTTTAGAGTTTTGTCAGGAGCCTTAGCAGACCCAACATGCAACTTTCCTATTCCTCCAATAAGTTAAATTTATTTGAAATAGTGTTTTTTTTACAATAGTTTTCA